TTTTAATTATAAGTTGCTTTGGGAGCACCAAATAGTTAATGTGAGTTGGATCCAGATCACAGTAGGTCCACTGAAATGAATAGGTGCTAAATTAGTCATGTCTAACTTAGGTTCCATTTATTTATCACACCAATGCATAAATATTTCCTTCTGTACACTGACATCTTATTGGTGCAGTTCAGGATGCTGGTATGACCAGTGCATTTCTAAATTGCTTGTGGGTGTCCCCCTTGTCTTCCTCCCTTACATCCCACTGCAAATTCTCTAAGACACCCAGAGTATTTGAGCATGTTTTGTTCCTTTTGTGGTGAAAAAGAAAGTCCATAATGCTTGAATTGTAACAGAATCTGAGTTTGCCATCCAGATGTAGGGATGACACTTATGTTATTATATACATGCCAATATATCTTAAGTTGGACCTGGAGTCTATAATTAGAGTATTTGATTTGCTGGTTGTTAAAAGCAAAGCATGAATTAAGATGTCATTTAAAGTGTGCTTTTATAAAACACCTCATTTAATTTAAGTTTGTAGGCTGTACAATGCAGATGTGTGAATTCTGAAACCTATAAATGTTTAGACCACTTATAGAAACTGATTTTACTGAGTAAAATCAATGGACTGAAGATAAATGTTGGAAATGTGGCTCTGGAAGAGCTACTGGTTTTTTTACATTTTTTGTAGGATTTGTCCTAAGATAACAAGAGTTCAGGTTTAATAGTGCTGACACTTAAAGCACACCCAAAAAGGTAACAGTAATTTGCATATAATTTGCATGTGATAATTATATGTATAGATGCTTGCTTAGAAATAATTATTATGATTTAAATAGAATGACAGTATATCTCACCATTGTGGAGAAGACTAGTTGGCTCACCTGTGCACTTGCATGTTTATTCCGCTGTTCAGGTGCTAATTGAGGACAGGCAACAGTGCTGGTTGACTGACAGAATTTGACTGATAGAAGGTGACGTCTAATGGAGAACCATCCTTTATAAAGTGTGCACATGGCTACCCTGAACTAGTATTAAATGATATTAAATCAGTTGTGGGGCATCTGATTCCTAATCACCTTTTCTGATATGTCACTGGATGTATCTCTCTCTGTTGGTAGTCCCAATTGACAATTAGTTTTACTGGAAAGAAGTTTAATTCTACTTCAGTCATGTTACAGAGTTTGGAATATGGCCATCATGTCAAAATTGACCAGTATCATAAGAGTTAGAGAGGGAAGATTAACAGAAGACCAGTTTATAGAAAAATGAAGTCTTTTATTGTTCATTGGGATGAAAATGTCCAGCAAGCATGTAAACCTTTCTCTCTGTTAGGGATTAGATAATGAATGAAATTATATATATAGTGTTATAAAGAAGAAATTGAAAAATGCATTTAACAGTTGTGTATTTCTTATAGAGCAATCTAGTGGTGCCTCTGTATGATTAATACAACATGTTTGATAAGTTGATTGGCACCAAGGTGGAGATGCAGATTGTCAGCTTGAATTTACCTGTAGTTGTTTGTTTTATATTGAAGGAAAAAAATGGAGTTGTATTGGGTTGCTTTACAGATTAATTAGTCTTTGTCTTGTTTAGCTTCTGTTCTTTGTGGAACATCAGGTTATTTTAATGGCACACAGAAGAGCTTCTGATTGTGATATGCTGCACATTTATTATGGTTCATAAACAGCAACATCTCTGACACATTCACAAAGAACAAGGTTGCATATGTGGCTTGTGTGCCATTTCTTTGAGCACATTGTGGATCATAATCAGGCCTGTTTGTCTCAAAGCATTGTTGACAGTGACTTCTGTTAGTAGCCTAGGAGGCAAAGCAAGAGTGGTGCTGGAGCAAGTGTATGCAGGTGGATATAAGAACCAAGAACATGGGGTCTGGCAGTACCTTGACTTCCTTCACAAAGGTGCTTAGACTAAAGTCTGAGATTGTTAAAGCCAATTGAAATCTCATTTTGCACTCAGCTGTCAGTTCTTCTATTCATTTGTCTGTTACAACTCTTATCTATGCACCCCACCCCCCCAAAAAGCTATGTGGAAAGACCAAGTTTTGACCTTTGACTTGGAACTGAATGAGCAACCAGTACAGGATGAACAATACTAGAATTCTGAATTTCATTCCTCTGGCTGCAGCCCAAAATTTTGCAGTTGCATTTGAACCAGTGGAATTTTCTGAACAGGGACAGCACATGTAGAGTATTAACCTATCCTTCATGATTCCTTCAATGTATGTGTGTGAAGCGGTCTTTCCCATCTAAGAAGGGATACAACAGACGCTACAGCCAAATCACACTTGACAACAGCCCTTCACTGGACAACTGAGAGTACTTGTGCAGACCTGCAACATTTGTGCCCCTCAAGTCATGGATGGAGGCCTACCTGCATAGGACTGCCAAAATAAGGAGTTTGTGATGCATATGACAGGCTACAGTCCAAGCTGTGCTCAGGTTGAGGATACACAAGTTGTGCAGGTTTAACAGCAGAGGTAGCTCTGAGTCTGCTGGGCATTATATGGGCAAGTCTCTTGCCAGGCTATTTCCTCCTCCCCTACAAAGCTCAAGAAAAGGTGTTTTAGTGTTCTTCAAAAAGAGGGTAAATATCTCAAAGGTCAATCAGTGTTGCTGTTCATGAAATGAGTGCTAAGGTTTGCTGGTAGTCACTAATAAATTATAGCATTGGGTTGCTGCTTTTAAGAAGAAGCAAAATTTATTCTCTTCATTTCTTGACAAAGTGTATGCTAGCATTATGTCCTTGAATGTCTTCAGAAATCTCATTATCAAGCTATCAAGCTTGTGAATATGAAATACTGTGCAGTAGGGCTTAGTGATATGGGTTCATATAGCTGTTCATGAATTTGAAGAAGTTTCCATTGTCATCTCAATACATCTTTAATGGCAGTGGTTGGTATCTTGTACCTTTGGTGAACATAAGATGAGGAATCTGAACAATTAGGTGACATTGCTCTGCACAGTGACATTGTATGGTTTTTTCCCAGCTAAGATTATAGTATGATTAAAAGGGATCACATTCTAGATTTGAAAATGTCAGATACTTGTTATCCATATGGCATTAGAGTTTTAAAGCTTAGGCAATACTAATTTCTTTCAGTGACAATAAATGACTACAGCTCTTTGAGTTCACATGGACTAGATCTGCATAGGTATTTTCATCTTCATTTTATTCCAGCAGCTGACAAACCACAAATTTGTTTTTTTCTAGTTAGTAGATGGAAGGGGAAGAGTATTTAAAAGATGATGACACTTCATTTTGCTGCACTTAACAGACTAAAGTGATATTCTAACTGAAGTAATGTTGATACTAACATACTAACTTAAGTGCATGCCTGCATTCAGATGTTCGTATCTTGACTTAATAATTTGTGATACAATAGTCTTGTACTTATGCACATAGTCCTTTCTTCCATCTTAGCATACTGCAATTAAACCTGGAAGTCGTCTCCAGTGGAAAATTATCCTGTGTTGTCCAAACAAAGAAAGTGTGGTTACCAGGTTTATAATAAACCAATTTCAAACTATAGATTAAGATTCTAGTTTATTCCAAACCTAAAAGCCTTAAAAAAGAGCAAGAGGCATGCAAAGCCAGAACAGCACAGATGAAAGGTTAATGTGTATCTTGGTTTATTAAACTGAGATAAGATCATCCAAGCATTAACTGAATATTTGTACATTTTTATTTATACTTGCAACTTGTAGGTTGCGGCTTAAAAAAAACAACAAGATGTTGCAGCATTTCTGAGGGTGCCGCACGAGTACTTGTAGTGGAACCTCAGGAGTACTTGCAGAGCATTTAGTACTGCGGCATGCACTGTCTGTAACACTTTACCAAGTGTTTGCAAAGACCTGGCATCTTCTTAAAACCTGTGTCTACCCAGGCCTTCCCTGAAGTTTGACCTTGCCAACTATGGTTTGTAGCACACAGCAGATCATGTGGTTTCATTGCTGATTAATTTTATTGCTTTCATGGTTATATTTACAGTTTTCTTTATGCCCATTTATGGAAAGTGGTATATAAATCTGAAAAATAACTACAGCATATAAATGATCCAGCTGAGGTCAGCAACTGCTGTCTTTTAGGGTTACTACTGAACAACTTTTCAAGCAGAACACTTAAGGAGCAAAAAAAATAGTGCTGTGCTGAATATTTCTTCTGTGTTTTAAACATGCTGAAATAAGAACCAGAAGGTTTAACTAATCATTCCTGAAATCTTTAAAAGTGGTTGATTAACTTCAACGCATTGCTAATGTCTTTTCTTTTGATGGGAGGATCCCAAAGGAAATCAAGGAAGAGTCACAGGGACAAAGACTGCAAGTAAAAATTAAAATGTGTGATTGCTGTTCATTAAAAAAAGTATAGCAGTAGAACAAGCATGGAAAGTGGGTATGTTTCATGTTAACATGAGATGAAACAGCTGGTACACATTGGTACAAAATAGGTACCATAGCAGCAGTTTGGGTTATTAGTATATTAATTTCTTTACCACTCAGTAGCTGAAGCTTAACAATTTACATTTTAGTAAAAAGAAAGATGAAGTTAAAACATATCAAAATATAGTGTTTTAAAAACTATTTTTGAATTGATATGGGTTGTCATAGGATTTACAGGTCATCACTCAATCAGAAGTTATAATTTGTAAAATCAGAATTTTCTGAAGTAGAATTTGTGTTTTGTTGCCCTGTTTCAGAATTGGTATAATAAAATGAAAGACCCGTTACTCCAATGGCAATTGCCTTCATTTTTGTGGCAAGGAAATAGAGCTTTACTGGTTTCAGCAAGAAATGAACCTTGCATTTTTTAAATGTCAGAATTGTATGTTTGTTTGGACAGAAAAAATATCATACAGCTCCTAGCATTCCTTTCTGGGGAAAGCTAGGTATTGTAGCACTTTTTTCTGTCTGAACATGCAAAGATTTGGACTTTACAAAGCAGCATTAAGAAAGTGTGTTGATTTTAAGTGTTTGGCCTTTTTTCAGGAGGATATGGATCATAATTACTACACCTCTAGGACGTATGGCCCATTTGATTCTACCAGCCAAGATCTGTGGGTGAACATAGACAAAATGGAAAAAGATAAAGTGAAGATCCATGGAATCCTCTCCAACACACATCGGCAAGCAGCGGTAAGGGCGTTTCATCTGCTGTACTAATTATTTTCATGTTAATTAATTTGCTGCCCCCCCCCCATTTTTGGCTGTTACCTGTATGACTCATGCCTTATTGTTTGGGTAGAATAGCTACTTGTCAAGGATGTTCACCTTGACTCTGACACTCCAAACATTATCCAAAGAATTTATCATCTGGGGTAATTCGTTTTTGATACAGAGTTGCTTTTGTTTACAGGTCAGGAGACATACATTTCACCCAGGAAACCATTTTTCCCAGATAACTATTACATTTCTTTGGAGAGTGGAACAAATTTAGAAAATGCTATGGAGGGAAAATATTCTTGGTGTCATTCAAGTCAGTAGCTGTTTTGCTACAGAGTTTAATCGACAGATGAATTATGCTTTGAATGGACTGGCTTAACTGCCATATTTAGAACTAAAAAGTAGCAGCCCCGAATTTGCTCCTTACATTTGTATGGGGCACCACAATGGTAGCTGGGTTCTGAGAACTGCTAGATCCTTGTCAAAATATTGTTGTTTTCAGCTGTTGATTCTTGTCAAATGATAGCAGAGGTGGTAGATGCAATTCCATTTCCATATCAAAAAACTGCTCTGACTGATTCTGATCACACACTCCTTGGAGCATGATTGCTAACCTAAGCTGCTAACTTTTGACTATAATTGGATGCTACATGGCTTCCAAATGTTATTCCCATAGCTGCCCCACGTACCAGAAGCAGCTTGAAGAAAAGAGTCAGCATTGGTTTTAAAGGGGATGTAAATTCCCTAGCAGAAATGATGATGCTGTTGTAATGATGGAAGGGATTCTTGCTCTATTGGCCTGAAAAAAAAAAACAATTGGACAGAGTTCTGACACCTGGGGAAAGACGTCCAAGTAATAGCTTTAAGAAATAGCTTGCTAACTCTTAAGTGTACAGAAGAAAGTATCTGAGGCTGATGAAAAAAGGGAGGTAGGAAGAGAAAAAAGAATAAGCAAGTTAGAATTCTGCTCTCCATTGGGTTGTGTCATATCATTTCCTAGGGCCAATAAACTCACCAGCCAGGTGACAAGCTGAGAGAACAGTTCTAGACAGAAGAGAATCTCTGTAGGGTTTGGAAGGAGAGGGACACAATAAACCCTCTAGATTTAGACTGACACACATAATTTATAGAAACTCTATTTTCCCAGCCATAGATAAAGAAAAGGATAGCTAATAACTGGATGGAGTAAGGTGGAAACACTGGCATTTAACAATTTCCTGAGTTAAGAATAAATGCAATCTATCACAGTTTGGGTTATATGAGATTCCTAAATGTGGTTAGTTGTTTGACAATAAAAACAAACCTTACTGCAAATAAGAATGTTTAATGGAATGACTTTTTTGCCAACATATTTGACCTTGAACAATTTTAAGAACTTGGGAAAGAGGCTAGGATGTAAAAACAAGTCTATTTCTTGGAATTACAACCATTGTGTAAATGTGTGTCTCTTTTCCAAGCCAAAACAATGCTGTCAGGATCCTTGAACTTATGTTTAACACTAAAGTCAGATTAACTGTGGGAACAAAGAAGTTGGAAGGGAGCATGTCAAGACTGCACATTTTTGAAGGCATTTGTGGGAGCTATGAAGCTAAACAAGAAATAAGAAAACTGCTAAAAATGCAGGAGCATAAAATGAACCATTGAAAAAATGGGCACACAGATTGAGTGTATACTGAAAGTGTTTATGTTACACTCATAGTTATATATTTGTACACAAAACCTTCCTTATGTTGAACTTCATGATGATAGAAACGATGATGCATATTAATTAAACTGGCATTTTCTAATAAACCCCCAAACCTGTATATGCATGTATGTGCATTTCTGACTACAGTAATAAGGATCTGAGTTTTCAGGGTCTGATACATTTGAGCAAAATCAAAATGGATGGCTTAGAAAACGTTCACATAAGTAAACTTGACCAGATTTTGTACTCTGAATATGTATGTATGCTGGATATGTTTGAGCAAATGCCACAACAACCAAGCATCTCCCAAAGCAAAGAATTAAAGTAGTTTTTTTCTGACTGCATTGAAAAACTTTAACCACTTCACATGATAACCATGTGAAGGGTGGACTGAAAGGAGGAGAGGCGGCATTCTGTCTCCCATGCCATGGTAGTCTCTGAGCTCATCCCCACTGTGTGGATGTCTGCACTGCACTGAGTATGCTTTCCCACTTAAGAAATCTGTGGAAATACACAAACATTGGGGGCCGGTGCCGGCTGGCACATACATTGTCAAGGCCAGGAGGGACTGCCTGCCTGCCTGCCTTCCATTCTTTGTGCAGCCACCCTTCAGCTGAGCGACTTATGACAGGACTGTTGAATTTGACTCATTTCGAATATCCTCACTTATGCTAGCCCAGTACAGAAACATGCACTTTGTGTTCTGTGTTCAGTGTGACCACCAGTTCTGAAGTTGGTACAGAATGTGGCCAGATTAGTCAACTTTTTTGGAAAACAAGTTAAATGTCTTTCAAATCCTTCCTTTGTGGTAGCTTTCAGCAATAGTATGACTGACTTGAGTAAATTTCCTGAGTCCTCTATAGAGTCCTCAGCATGTTCATTCCAGTGAGATGGAAATCTGTATAATGCAAGGAGCCCAGAAACAATGTATTTGTTTTCTTCATTTTAATTTAGATAGTTAATAATTAGGTCAACTCTTCCTGTTGAGTCAATGATTGTTTTTCATTTCAACGTTTTATTTTTTCTTCAATCTAAACAAATAATTATTCTGAATACTTCAGACATACTGAGTTCAAAATCATATTCTCTCTACAATTACTATATATGTCAGCCCAAAGTGAGATTCCATTTTTCTAACCAGTAATAGAAAAAGTCCCATGTTTTGTAGTAGGATGTGTCTTCTTTTTCCTTAAGAGATAAGGTCAGTCTGTCCATTTCCGCACAGTCCAGTATCTTCTTTAGAAGCAAGTCTTCAGTCAGTAATTCTTGATTCAATGATTGTTATAGCTTTCCTAGTAAGATTTTGGAAATGACAACTGAGGGCTATCTTAGGCATTATTATTTTGCCTTATTCAAGTGGACCTGTAAGTCTCCACCAAGCAAAACTACTACTACTACTACTACTACTACTACTACTACTACTTTAGTTACTGTAATATCACATTTCCTCTCATTTAGTAGCTATTTTAATCTTTTTGCATATGCAGTTTTTTTAGAAGTGTTGGCTGGGACATGAAGACTGATATGAAAAGAGGCATGATAGTAGAAGAGAAAGACAACAGATACGGGGAGAATGTGAATAAATGTAAGGTTGAAGATTACCTTATTGATATGAGTTAAAATATCCAGAAGTATATTATTTACAGTAATGGTGAACAGTGTAACCTCAACTGATTATTCAGTCTTAAACTATTAATCACAGCTTACCTGCCCTTTTCCAGAAATGAACGCTTCTACTCATTTCTGGTGATGTTTAATGCTCTAGATCCCCAAAAGAATAGATTGCATAGGCATGAGATTCTTTGCTTTTTATCAATAATATCATTGTATGAATGACCAAGAGACAGGTCAGTAATCTAGTACAATGGATGGTTATCTGTTTCACCAGTACGACTTTAGATGCTGTTTGTGTATCAGTTCTTTTCTATGAATGATCGTGTAGATATACTATTCTAGAATAATAGTTTTAAAATTGCATACCCTTGAATGAGATCCAATGAAAATGAATCTTTCCTAGTAAGGGGCTGTGCAATCAAATATGTTTTAATGTCACCTTGACAATCCAATTGGTGTGCAAGCATCACACACAGCAGATTCTTCCATTCCAACATTGAAAAAAATAATTTGGGAATACTGATTATGGTTAAATCAAGATTTTAATCTTGCACCTGCAGGTACAAGAAGAAAAATGTGGCTTCTAGTTGGAGTTGACATCTCTTCTCTGTTTTATGCTTTCTTCCAACTTCTCAAGATAATAAATTTGGAGAAGTGGGGGAGAATCATAAAACTGTTAGAGTGTTAAAAATTGTAAGGGCTGTCTTGTCAGAACTTGCCTGTAATGTCTTCTTTGCCCTTGTAAAGAGATGAATCTCTGTCATTACACAATAAAGGACAATTTGCACATCATGCAAAGATTAAGTGATGAAAATGCAAATAGCTTCTTGAGGTTTTTTCCTCCAGTTTGCTAGGAAAAAGTGGTCTAATTTTGTTAAAATAAAGTTCATAATTCACTTTCTAAATTCAGAAGTCTGAATTAATATAGGGAGGAAAAAGAATGACTCTTAATCCTTTCAGCTAAGAGCACAATCCAGTGGCCAGTAGATGCAATATGGCCAGCTGGAATAAAATTCAGAATCCCGACCATGACCTTGGAAACACATTTGAAGGTTAGAGTTGGAGTTCCAAATTTGGAAAACTCTTGAAAGAACCATGCTGACTCTGGCTTGGAGGACAGAAGACCAATCTGGGACCAGCTTGTAAGGAGTGGGCAGGGAAGCAAGGAGGAAACAGTGAAGATCAAAAAGGATATAATACATCAGCAGCACCTCAGCCTGTCCTCAATGTAAGCAAGCACAAAATGGCCCAAAATTGGCCAAGTTCTTTTTGCCAATGAGAAGCAACCATCCTTCTTCCATTCTTGATAAGATTCCACAATCCTCCAAGTTTGGAAGGTTCCTGGTAACTTTACTGTATCATGCCGCTGTTTGCATTTGGGATATTAATTAATTGGAAGAGGATTGCTGAAATGAAGATGGGAAAGAAGGCCCTGGATATTTAAATACAAATGTGGCTAACTTGTGGGTAACATGTATATTTCCATAAATGTTGCATTTGAGATAGAAATGAGGAAATGCAAGAACTGGGATAGAGATGAGTAAATGCAAGAAAAAATTTGTTGTTGGGAAAACATATTTTGTCATGTTGGCTTCAGAGAATTGTAGGCACAAAGTGGGTAGATTATCTCTCTTAGAGGAAAAATATCTCTTGATGGCAAGATTAGACAATT